CATCAAAAACTAATGATGTAATGTATGGTGATTAACATAACATAATAAAAAATAAATAAAAAAAAAAGAAAAGATCATCTATCAACTCGGGGTCTTTGCTGACTCATCTCTCAGCCATCCCCGGGCCCTGCCGTGCGGCCCCGCTGCTGCGTCTGACGGTTGGCTCTGTCCCTCATTCTGCCTGGGAAGTCACTCTCCTGTTTTTCTTCATCCCTCGGCCACTTCTTACCATTTGCTTTCAGGATCCCTCGTGGTCCCCACACTTGAATGCTGACATGGTGCACACCCCATCTCTCCCCCGCCTGTCCTGCTGGCTCTGTGGCTCCTGTCACTTTTCCCTGCCCCAGATCTGTATACCCAACTGCTGATTGCAGATGTTCATTTGGCTGTCCCATAAGTCTTAGATTTTCAACATGTCCAAAACGTACTTATTTCTACACAAGCGTCTCCCTCCTACTTCCTCTCTCTGCACTGGGATCCCCTTACACTTGGGTGTCCAAGCCAGAGATCTCGGCACAAGCCTGGACCTCCTTCCTCTCTCCTCCTCGTGCCCATCTGAAGCTCCTGGCTCCACCTTCCTTAACCCCTACCACTGTCTTACCTTAGTCTCCCAGGATTTCTAGTCTTGTAACGGGGTTCTTTTCATCTATTCTCACTGACCACCCCCCTTCTACACATAACTCTATGCTCTCTTCTAGGGAGACATTTCTAAATCAAATCATTTCACTCCCCTACTCAAAATCCTTCATTATGATATTCAAGGCCCTTCATCATCTGGCCCTGCCTCCCTGGGGAATCTCATCACTTAGCCATTTGCAAACTAGGTTCCATTGGTACCATCTTGTTTATGTCTCTGGAACATGCCACACTTGTTCATGGTTGCAGATCTGAACTTCCCCCTTGCCTAGGATGCTCTTCCCACCCAGCCACCCACACACAGTGACCCTTTTACCTGCCTAACTCACACATTCTTCCAAAACCCAGCTGAAGGATCACTTCTCCCAGGCTGGGTTGATCTCTCTTCTTTCATGTGACCATACCACCCAAACTATCACAGCATACATCACATGCTAGTATCTCTCTACTTTGGTTCCTATAATAGATCTTGAGTTCTGTAATAGTAGGGAATTATCTTGGGAGTCCCAGCATGTAGCAGCAGTACCTGGTATAAAGCAGGTGCTCAATACGTGAATAAATGGAAAATTACTGGTTGGTAATGATGCTTAGTAATAGTCCAAAGAAACGCTAGAAATAATTAGAGGGTTTATCTCAATCTTTACTCAGTAAACTTGCTATTATTAACCAGATCATGGATTCATATAGCAGAGGGTCTTCCTGGGCAGAGAACTTTCTATAGGCTGTAACCACCATATGTGGGTATTCTGGAGAGGTCATCACAACCACTGTGACTTGTGTTCAACAAGGAAAAGATATAAAAACCCAGAAAGAGATCTTGGTTTATGAAGTGAAGTGAATATATTCACCACGAATCTCAGATATTAAAACCCGGTATTTTAAAATATGTATGTCTAGCTGACAATTAAGTGTTTTGGCAATGTTTAAATATATGGAATCAATAATTTATGAAATCATCAAACAAGGACTTCTGGGGAAATGGTGGAGTAGGAGGACCCTGAGCTCACTTTGTTGCCCCGGTAAACCTAGATAACACCCACATCAGCATAAATAACTCTGAAAATGACCTAAAGACTGCCAGAACAAACCCCACAACTAAACGTAGAAAAGAGGCTGCAATGAAGAAGAGAGGAAGGGCAGAGAGGTGGTGGGGAGCTAAATGGACTTGTGGGTCTGTTGGTAGAAGAGAGACACCCACGAGCACAGACGGGGGTGCGGAGGGGTAGAAACAGACCCTCTCACAGGGGGCCAGCATGGGGCAGATGAATCCTCCTAACATTTGGCTTTGAAAATGAGATGGGTCAGATTTTGCGAGTTCTTACAACCAGCAGGACTTAAAACCTGGAATTTTAAACATCAGTGGTTCAGCTCTGGGAGAGCTGGGAGGAAGAGAGGAAAGGGAGTCCCCACTGTTAAAGAGACTGCATGACAAACAGCCCCACAGAGATACAGCACAGAAGCTGCAGTTTGAAAAACACCTGGGGCGCACAGGAAAGCGTCATTTACTCGTCTCAGAACCTGTGTTGGAGTGACAGAGATCAGTGGGGGACTTCTCCAGAAACAAAGGAGCTGGCAGGTTCCATTTCCCTCCCCTAGCATAGATACTCTGACACCAGCTGGAACTAACTTACTAACAGCAACCCCCTCATTCTGGCGTGGACATGTCCCCTCCAGCCAGACCTCAGCTCCAGGTCCCCTCACACAGCAGACCTGCACCCCTGCCCACATGCATGTTGCAGATCCACCCTCCCCACCCCAAATGGGCCCTCGGCAGGAGCCCGTCAAAGCGGTGCCACAAGCCTGGTAGTGTGTGCGCGGCCCAGACAAGGGTCAGCACCACTCCAAAAGTGAGTCCTGTGGGAGGGAGATTTGTTTACTCATCACAGAGCCTGTGCTGGAGGGACAGAGATCCTCAGGAGACCCATCCAGGGACAAAGGAGCTGGCAGACACCATTTCCCTCCCCCAGCCCACAGACACCTGTGGGAACAGCACAGCTGGATCGCTCCCCACCGAGGATTCTAACAGCGTGCTCTGCCCCCCACACTCCTCTTCACACACGCCCCTTCCCGCCAGTCCTCCACCTCAGGTCCCCTCCACGGCAGACCTTGCAGACACTGCTAAGACTATGTACCCCGCACCCCCCGCTCTTCTGCAGACCTGCCAGTTCCAACATGCCCTTGGCAGGAGCCCGTCAAAGCGGTGCCACAAGCCTGGCAGTGTGTGCATGGCCCAGACAAGGTTCAGCACCACTCCAAAGTGAGTCCTGTCCCAGGGAGAGGGGAAGATAAGCACACACCTGTCTGACTGTGACCCCAGCAGTGGGCTGAGGGCAGGCAGCTGGTCTGACTGCAGGCCCCACCCACGAACAGAAGCTTCTCCAGGGACGACACAGGGACAGGGCCTGCAGTTTGGTGCTACTGCATCTCCGGCAAATGCCTGGTCTGACTCAACTCCAGCCCAAGGCAGCCCCGGAGCAGCCCACTAACACCACGGGCACCAGACTCTGCCCACAACAGGCAAGGAGCCATCGCAGACAACAGGACTGAAGGCAAACACATCCCAGCCACAACGGGAGGACACCCCTGGGGCAACACACATAGGAGACACCCCCTGAAGCACCAGGTTCTGGAGAACAGACATTGCACTGCAGGACCTCTTCATAAAGCCACTACTTTCAAGTGCAGGAGACGGAGCTGACTTTCCTAACACAGAGAAACAGACAACGCAAGAGACAGAAT